GTGGACTCAATAAAGCTGGTCTATTCAAGAGTTGCTTGAAGTATTCCACCCATCTATTCCTCTGATCTTCAATCTCATTGATTGACTTGAATACTTTGTTCTTTACCGGTCACCCTGGTTTACTATATTTTCCTGCCAGTTTCTTTGTCGTTTCGTATAGTTGTTTCATGTTTCTTGCAGCTACGGCTTCATCTACTCTGGTTGCCGGGTGCTCCACGTACTTTTGCTTGTTGGCTGTAATGCTCCTCTTCACTTGCTATTTTGCTTCCGTTTATTCAGCTCGGTCATTGATTTCCTATGTTATTGTTCGGCTGTTGTTGGTTGGTTTCTCACCGTTTTTTATTATCTTGAACTGTCTGATTCTATGCAGTGTTGTCCATAGAGATCCGTGTAACTTTGTGAATACATTTTTGGTGTGATGTCATGATGTCTATAATAAGTTTGCTGAATGCACATAGATTTACAAATCTCTCTCCATTTCCATTTCTTTCTCCCGGTCAGTCAATGTCGTTCTGTGAAATTTTCAAAGCCGGTGTTATACATTCCTACTTTGGCGTTCAGGCCTCCAATGAGAATGATCAGGTCTTTTGACGAGAAATTCTCCATAATCGATTGCACAACATCGAAAACTCGATGTTTGTCATTGTCGTTCAGAGTTCGTATGCCTTAATTCATTTTGTGTGTTTGGCATACTCTTAGCGACGTTGCATTCTGAGCTATTGAAATGCTGACTTTATATTAAACCCTCCTCATCAACTTGGACATATGATCGGTAATCGTTGGAAGGAAATATGAAACAGCTTTACGATACAACGAAGAAACTAGCAGGTAAGTACAGTAAACCAGAGAGACCGGTCAAAGACAATGAAGGCAAGCCAATCACCGAAATTCAACAACAGCGGTAGAATACTTCGAGGAACTCCTGGATAGGCCGGCTCCAATGAATCCACCGGACATCGAAGCGGCACACACAGATCTTCCCATAGACGTCAACCCACCAACGAAGGAAGAAATCAGAATGGCCGTCAGACAAATGAAGAACGGAAAAGCAGCGGGTCCGGACAACATACCAGCTGAAGCACTGAAGTCAGACATCGAAGCAACTACAAACATGCTTCACCTTCTATTCAAAAAGATTTGGGAAGAGGAACAAGTGCCGATGGACTGGAAAGAAGGACACCTCGTCAAGATTCCAAAGAAAGGAGATATGAGCAAATGTGAAAACTATAGAGGCATTACACTGCTGTCAATAACAGGGAAGGTCTTCAACAGAGTTTTGCTGAACCGGATGAAAGATGCAGTAGACGCCCAACTTCGAGATCAACAAGCTGAATTCCGTAAGGATCGATCATGCACAGACCAAATTGCAACACTACGGATCATCGTCGAACAATCAGTTGAGTGGAACTCATCACTATACATCAACTTCATTGATTATGAAAAAGCATTCGACAGTGTGGATAGGAGGACATTATGGAAACTTCTACGACACTAGGGAGTTCCTAAGAAGATTGTCAACATTATCCAGAGCTCATACAACGGACTACAGTGCAAAGTCGTGCATGGAGGACAGCTGACAGATGCATTCCAAGTAAGGACCGTAGTCAGACAAGGCTGTTTACTCTTTCCCTTCCTCTTTCTTCTGGTGGTCGACTGGATTATGAAGACCTCGACATCTGAAGGAAAACACGGAATACAATGGACAGCTCGAAATCAATTAGACGATTTGGACTTCGCAGATGACCTAGCGCTCCTATCGCATACACACGAACAGATGCAGATGAAGACAGCCATTGTAGCAGCAGTCTTTGCATCTGTAGGCCTCAGTATACACAAAGGGAAAGCCAAAGTCCTCAAATTCAAAGCGGAAAACAACAATCCAATCACTCTTGATGGCGAAACTCTGGAAAATGTAGAGTCCTTCACATACCTGGGAAGCATCATCGATGAACAAGGAGGTTCAGATGCAGACGTAAAGGCAAGTACAGCATTTCTACAGTTAAAGAACATATGGAACTCAAAACAACTTTCAACCAATACCAAAGTAAGAATCTTCAATACGAACGTCAAGACAGTTCTACTGTATGGAGCTGAAACTTGGAGAACTACAACAACCACAATCAAGAAGGTACAAGTATTTATAAATAGCTGTCTACGCAAGATACTCAACATCCATTGGCCGGATATCATCAGCAATAGCCTTCTGTGTGAGAGAACAAACCAAATACCAGCTGAAGAAGAAATTTTGAAAAGACGATGGAAAAGGATAGAACATATATTACGCAAGTCGCCAAACTTCATCACGTGGCAAGCCCTAACTTGGAATCCTGAAGAGAAGCGAAAAAGAGGAAGGCCAAAGAACACATTCCGTCGGATAATAGAAGCAGATATGAAAACCATGAATTACAACTGGACAGAACTAGAAAGGATTGCCCAGGACAGGGTTGGATGGAGAAGGCTGGTGAGCGGCCTATGCTCCTTCACGAGGAGTAACAGGCACTATACCATATATATATCATATGATCGGTAATAACATTAGATGAGCTACAGGAATGACTTGAATAAAAATTTATGTGAATTGTCTAATCAAATCAGTTCCATGTTAACTGCAGTCATCTGTTGCTAGGTCTCAAGTTATTACGAGTTCACTTAATCTGCGAACGAGAACAAAGACTCAGTGACCAAAGACCAATAAGCTATATATTCTAATGCGCATCAGCCCCGCTAACTACAGGAAGGAGTTGGACAGGTAGACACCAGCGACAACAATAATCATAAATCAAACCATATATACATAAAGCACAAAACCGTCCTCGTGGAGACTTTCCAAATAGCATACCAAAAGACACAATGAACCAACAGCATTCAAGATATTTACCAACTGGGAAATACCACAGGAAGGTGACAAGAACGCGAAGAGAAAATAATTAAAATTTTCTAAATAAAATTACAGAATGACGTCCTTTTCCAAATGAGTTCTGAAGATCTATCGTCCCCAACATCTGTAATAAGAATGCTTCTTTATGGGGAAAATCTATTTTAGTTCTGTAGAAAAATGAAGAAATATTTCAATGTCAATTGATATGTCTTAACGAATCCAGCCACACACAGGACTCCATTAAACTTCCATTAAAATATGATATCCAACCTAAATTAATGTTCATTGAAAGCATACACTTAGGTAATAGTCAAATGTGTTTATCCAGAATATGCGCTGATGATGAGTGTATCCGTCACAGTGATTGGTATGAAAAGATACACCGAACGTGCTGTCGATTTAATCAGGATTATTCTCCACAGTCTCCTTCACCAATGGTACACAGAACGTGACAACTAGTCGAGTTTTAAAGAATCAAATTTATTAATGGATGTTTCACAGATTGATAAATCATGGACGTGGAACTGGATGATTTTATGAGAAAAAACGACCACCACGCCAATCACTTGAAATGAATTGGTGAATGGTTACAGTGTTTATTCTTAGCCGGAGTAAGACCATTTATGAAATAACAAGCAGAACATTTGCTTTCACTTCATCTTCTTTTTAGCAAAGTAGTAATTATATGTAAAATGAGAATTTAACTCATCTTTGATGTCACTCAAATAAACAAACAACATTCATATGACACCCACGATACACAATAGAGAATACCATATTATCTTTTGATTAATGAAATAGACTGAGGTGATCAATGATAAACAAAGTATAATCATAAACAAGAAAGAGGTCAACACAAATATGTTTTTCTTAATTAGACAAACACGTTGTTGACACTGAAATGGAAGAAGGAGTAATCAATTTACTTTTGAAAATGTTATCGGATGTAAAGAGAAATGATGATAGAACGTGGTGTTATGTTAGATTCAGTGCGATGAATCAGATAGAATTCGCAATTGTTTTGCAAATCTTATTCCTCACTGCATACGATTTATTGGTTTGTGGTGTTTGTAAAAACTGATGATGCTTTTGTACTTGAGGACTGTTTGATTTTGAATTTCGAACACAATAAGTTCGTCTGTTCTCATCTAGCTGTCAAGCAATTTATCTCAATCTTTATCAGGAAAGATGACTGGTGACTAGCGATGGAATCCATGACTCGCTTTTCTCCTTATTTGTGAATCACCAGCTGGATATACCTACATCCCATAATTGATGTCACCTCTGTGACTCGAACCCTGTATCATTCGGTTCATACGGCATCGTCTTATTCAATTAGTTTGATTTGGAAAATATTTCATTATAAATTGAACACGAACATGAAGTCCGGCTTCAGTCACTTCTGTTGGACATTACTGATTGATTTCTTTACTACTTATACAAATATCAGTAGCTTCAAACAGTGCATCAAAACACCATAGTACAATGCATGGTCTAATGCATACAAATGTTCAGATTAACTGAACTATACTATTAACATGTCGTGTTCCTGTTCACATTCAAAAAGATCTTGGGGAAAATCATTCAGAATATTAAGTGGAGTAGTGCAGCATACATGTCACAAGTTTCTTCATCATCATCATCATCATCATCATCATCATCATCATCATCATCATCATCATCATCATCATCTACGGCACCAGGAGCAGTTTGGCAAAATATCAATCCATATTGATTGCCAGATAAGTTGAAAATCATTGTTCACTAGGTGAAATATGGTTTTGGTTATGATCACGATACATTGAGACAAATATTTGATGAAAAGTATACACTGGTTGAATCTGAAGACGAATGTTAGTCATTACACATGGCCTTACCTTCCCGCAACAAAATACCTTTTTACAATGTTGACTGGTTTGTTCAAATATTCATTGTACTCACTTTTACTGTAAGTTTAGTTAGTTCGATAATTGTTTCTACTTTCTCCATATATGATGAATTATTGTATATCGGTGGGATTGAAGCAAAGAACAAATTCGTAGTTAAACCCATAATCAACTGTATTTCAACGAGTTGTGATGTTTTATCATTTCAAGTGACTTATTGATTCGTTGCTCTATAATCATGGTCTCTTCAATGTAGTAGTAGTAGTAGTAGTAGTAGTTGTAGTAGTGGTAGTAGTAGTAGTAGTAGTAGTAGTAGTAGTAGTAGTAGTAGTAGAAGTAGTAGTAGTAAATTTCGATAGAACAATGAGAAGATGGATTTGCTCTGACAATTTTGATGTATTTGCGCTATACATTTCAAACAATCTGTTAACACATTTACCTGTCATGGCATTTTTATATCTTAGTAACGCTTTACAATCCAAGAAAGTTAACTAGAAAAAGAAATTTATGAAAATATTTCAGTGATATACCAGTAAACTGGATAATGAATAGGAAAAAGAAAATCTATTTTGGATACAGGGGTATTTTGAATTTAAACGTAGATGAGTCCCAGTCATGTTACACTTTCATGAAGTAAAACAGAATATTCATCTTATAGTTTTTTTAGTCACCATATAATCGGTAAACTATCTCACTTCTATTTGTTAATGATAAGTTAACAAAATTACTTGCTTACTTACTTACTTACGCTTGTTACAACCAATGGAGTATAGACCACTGACCAGCATTCTACAACCTATTCTGTCCTGGACCTTCGTTTCTAGTTATATCCAATTGTCCTCCATGCTTCTCGTGTCTGTCTTCATTTCTCAGCCTAATATGTACTTTTGTCTTGCTCTTCTCCTTTGAACTTGAGGATTACAAATGAGGACTTGTCTTGTGATAAAGTTGAGAGATTTCTTCAATGTGTGTCCTATCCACTTGCGGCACTTTTCGTCCTGATTTCTCCCTCCACTGGAATCTGGTTTGCTTTCTCCTACAGTATGTTGTTGCTCATAGTGTCTGGTCAATGGATCTGAAGTATTTTGCGTAGACAGCTAATCTTTTGGTATTCAATCTTTTAAATTATTACACCATACACTAATCACCATATTCCTTTAATATCGATGCAATTTAGCATTGTATATATACACACATATTTAGATATTTACAACAGAGTCACACTGATCACAGGATATTTTAAAATACTACAGTTTAATGTACATGTATACAAGTGAATTATTCAGTTAATGAAAGATTATTGCCTATACATCATTCTCTGAGTCATTTCGACTGTATATGAATATTTATGAGTATTAATCTTAGTTGGATTGATCAAGAAACCACTGTACAGTGATTCACCGGAACAACAATGAAGATGCACTTGCAATGGAAATACATAGAAATAGCTTTTTTTGATAGAGTTCTGTTCTCTGAGCTAGATGATTTGGTCCTGAAGCTTTCATCATTCTTCTGAACGACATCCACATGTGATTCATAGCTTGTCCTGTAGACCTCGATGTTGATTGGTTCTTGTTGATATTTCACTTCTACCTGAAGTTTGTGCTGATGATATCGTTCAAAGGAACGATGAAAGTTCCACGACCCCATCCCGTAGAAATCTAACTTGGTAAAAAATGCTAACCATAAAAAAATAATTTAAACTCTGCCCTGGGAATTAGAAGGAATTCATTTAGAAGAGTTTTGAAGCGACATGGTGAAAGCCGAACGAGGTCTACTAGCTAACTGTGAGCAAGTATAAGTGTTGATAATCTGTCGAAGCTTATTAGAGTTAGACTTCCACACCTTGATAATCGTCATAATATAAATCTCCAACGGTGTTTAAAATAAGAAGTGGCAACCACAGTTTATTAGGGGATAGAGCAGATCACAAAGCTTTAAGCACATCGAGCGTATTTGAAGCAGATAGGCGAATACGTATATGGAAGCAATTACACAGGAAAATTTATATTCAAATCGTATAAAGGCCCAGCAAGACAAAGCAAAGAACTAATAATAGGATTAACGTACATATATACATGAAGAAGAGGATAATCCATCAAGTGATATATAAACAGTCAACAGTTTAACTAAAGTCTATCAGGTTCTTTAGTGACCATAACAGTATTTATTTATTTAATTGAACAGATAGATTTTGGTACAATGGGGCACCACATATATATGCACCACACAAATCACTTGATTTCTGTATGTGGGATCGAATACTGCCCGGGAGTCCAAACCGAACCAGGTGGTTTTCTTACAGGGCCACATCCAGAGCCTTCGACCTAAAGGTTTGATCCATAAGACAATCGAGCAACGTCACAAGATGCATTCTCATGGTAGATAGTGATCAATAATTGGTTTATACGCCATTTTTACCCTCAGTATCCTGGAGACCATGTGTACCATTGGTTTGGAATCAGAGTTTTCCAACTCTCCTTGGTGGATCTTCCATATCCACCAAGCGGTTTAAAGCGCTAGACATTCACTTTTCTTCCTCTCAATTTCCTAAACAACACTTGTGTTACAAGAAGGCAGTGAGTAGAACTTCCCTGGCAGAGGCTATATACACGTGGCCATGTGAGAACATTTCGAGAGGGAGAGCGGACTCTCCCCCACTCTCGGCCGTACCAGGGCATTCGGGGACACACACCATAACAGTACAAAGAAATAAATGAATTGTTATCATTCAAATAACACTGTCTATTAACTAAGTGAAGCAATAAATGGTTTAATCAAAATGTAACCATCATCAAAATCGATTGCAAGATGATAGTTGCTACCTTAGTGATTAATTTATACATTTTTAGTAAATATGTTTCCATAATTATCACTATGTATAATAATTTATACTAATAATTATTAATAATAATATTAAAGTTAAATAAAATGTAAACTGATTTAACGAATGATCAATTACAATGAATTATCCAAAGTTTAGTTCAATTAAACCATTATCACTATAGTGAATTAATGAAAATTGAATTATTTTTTTATTTTTTTTTCGGGGGGTGGGGTGAGGGAAGTAACTACGATCTAAGGATATGACATATAGCTGTTTCTATATGGCTTCATTAAAATTAGATAGATTTATAACTAATTGATGATTATATACAATGATACATTGATAATAGGACAATCATTTTATTATATTATCAACTTTCATTATGATTATTATTACCATGTAAAATGTTTTAAACTAGTTAATTCACCTTTTGTATTCTCTTCATTATTCGGTACGTACATAAATACATACATATTTGTATTCATAACAATGTGAGTTTTCTATGTAAAGATAGATAGTAATGGAAATCAGTTTGACAAGAGTTTCGTCCTATTTCGTCACTCGTCAATTGGATGTACCTACATCTACAGAGTAGATATACACTCTAGAACTCAAATCCAGCACTGTTCACTTTAAACGCAATCGTGTTATCCACTTAGTTACTGAGCCTTAATAACCAATTGCTTGTATAACAAAGTGAAATTTAAATTCATTTGATATTGTTTACTTGAATCTTCCCATTGTTGTTTAGAACCATAATTGATCAATCTCTTATTGGTATATGTACATACTGTGAACATTAACACTGAGAAATAGTTACATCCAAATAATGAGTTCCAAAATAAGACGAAATGTGCGTCAAACTGGATTTCACTCCTAGCCACTATTCATCTTCGTTTAGAATACTTATGAATTAAGGCAATATCGAGACAATTCGTACAGAATTTAGACTGCTATCCATCAATAGATAATCATTGATAATAGTTAACATGTATTAACATTTACTTTTTCTTTAGTACAAAATAACAGTTTATTGATAATGTAATAAGAAGATGAAGATTATCAAAACTATATGATGATATATTAGCGTAATATATTTCGAACAATCTGATCACACATACACTTGTTAAGAATCATTTATATACATAAAAATAAAAAGTTAAATAGAACAATCAACTGAATGGAATTCATCACTCTATATCAATTTCATTGACCACGAGAAAGCATTTGATAGCGTGGACAAGACAAAACTGTGAAGACTTCTTTGACTCTACGACGTGCTTGAGAAGACAGACAATATCATTCGTAATTCCTATGATGGATTAAACTACAAAATCCTACATGAAGATCGGCTCATAGACTTGTTCAAAGTAAAGACCGGTGTCAGGCAAGGTTGCTTACCCTCAACCATTCTCTTTCTACTAGTGGTCGATTGAATCATGAAGACGTCAACATCTAGGAGGAAGCATGCGATACAGTGGATAGCTATGAAGCTATGACGATCTACACTTCACAGATGATCTGGCTCCTCTATCACTCACGAAACAACAAATACGGGAGAAGACTATCACTGTAGCAACAGCCTCAACAGCGGCAGGTTTCAACATACACGAAGAGAAAAGCAATATTCTCCAATACAACACAGCATGCAACAATCGAATCACACTTGACGGAGAAGCTTTGGAAGATGTAAATACCTTTACATATCTGAGAAGCATCATTGACGAGCACAGTGGATTTGATGCAGATGTGAAGGCGCGAATCGGCAAAGCAAGAGCAGTATATTTGCAACCGAGGAACATCTAGAACTCAAAACAACTGTCAACCAACACCAAGGTCAGGATTTCCAATACGAATATCAAGCCAGTTCTACTATATGTGGCAGAAACATGGAGAACTACGAATGCCATCATCCAGAAGATACAGGTGTTTATTAACAGTTGTCTGTGCAAAATACTTCGGAATTGTTTGTTAGACACTATCAGCAACAACCTACTCTAGGATAGAGCAAACCAGATTCCAGTGGAGGGAGAAATCAGGACGAAAAATTGCTGCAAATGGATAGGACACGCATTGAGGAAATCACTCAACGGTGTCCCAAGACAAGTCCTCATTTGGAATCCTCAAGACCAAAGGAGTAGAAGAGAAAGACGAAAGTACATATTGGGCTGAGAAATGAAGACAGACACGAGAAGCATGGAAAACAATTGGATATAACTAGAAACGAAGGTGCAGGACAGAGTGTGTTAGAGAATTCTGGTCAGCGGACTATGCTCCACTGGGGCAACAGGTGTAAGTAAGTAAATAACTAGGTCAGAAATGGAGAGTAAGAGGACACAAGGATAATGAACGAAGTAATGTAAAAAGGGGGGTTTGAGTTTTCATATGACCAAGGCTTCAATAAACATTAGTGCACGACCTTTTACACTTTTGTGCAACACCACAAAATCTGCAATATCACCAACCGCATGACCTGTTTCAATTATGTGTTCGACAATAGGATGATGGATGTTTATCCCTTACTCTTATTGATTTATTCGATTTTAATTTTTTTAAAAGTGTTTTTGTAACTATTTAGGTATGTGTTTAGACACCCTAATTTTGTGATCACAACTACTCCTTCCACACACATTTAATTAGTAAACACAGTGCTTTTCGATGAAGCACGAACCTTGTTCTTTCTTTGACAATGACCTTCACTGCGTAATACGTCTTATTAATGGCTGAGTTAAGCCTTTGTTTTAATAAAAAGCTATTCGAATCACCTCTAAATCGTAAGGTGTACACAGGCTTCTTTCTGCCAAGGCTATAGTAGGTCTCACTATGCCATGAACATTACATCTATTTAGGAATTTTAGAAGATAACCATTTTCCATTATTTTTTTGTTTAACAACCTAATATCATCGTCAATGGAGTTATTTGAGTCTGTGACCTGTCCTCCATGCACGATTTTGCAGTTTAATCCATCATATGAATTTTGTATGATATTGACTATCTTCTGGGGCATGCCGTAGTGTCGAAGAAGCTTCCATAGTGTTATTCTGTTCACGCTATCAAATGCCTTTTCGTAGTCAATGAAGTTGATCTAGAGTGATGAACTCCATTTCAATTGATTGTTCCACAATGATCCGTAAAGTAGCGATTTGGTCTGTACATGATCTATCCTTACGGAATCCTGCCTGTTGGTCGCGAAGTTGGGCACCTACGCATCCTGTTTAACAATACCCAGTTGAAGACTTTACCCGGTATTGAGAGAAGAGTGATGCCCCTGTAGTTATCACAGTTGCTGAGATCGCCTTTCTTCGGTATTTTGATCAGAAGTCCTTCTTTCCAGTCTTTTGGTACTTGTTCCTCATCCCAAATCTTATTGAAAAGAATGTGGAGTATCTTTGCAGTTGCCGCTACGTCTGCTTTCAGTGGCTCTGCTGGAATATTGTCTGGTCCTGCTGCTTTGCCACTCTTGATTTGTCTGATTGTCATGCTGATTTCTTCAATTGTCGGTGGACCAACATTGACTGGGAGGTCCGTGGGTGCTGCTTCGATGTTGGGTGGGTTCAGTGGGGCTGGTCGATTCAAGAGTTCTTTGAAGTGTTCTATCCACCTGTTTCATTGTTCTTCAGTGTTGGTGATTACCTTACCTTCCTTGCTTTTCACTGGTCGTTCTGGTCTACAATAATTTTCATCAAAGTTCTTTGTTGTATTATACAGTTGTTTCATGTTTCCGTCTCTTGCAGCTTTTTCCGCCGTCGATGCTAAATCTTCCACATATTTACGTTTGCCGACTCTGATGCTCCTCTTCACTTGTTTGTTTACTTCTGTGTATTCGGATGCAAAGAATCAATGGTAATAAATACTGATCATTCGTTGAATTCGGGTTCATACTTTTTTCATAGTAGATCAAAAACCTTGTTTTACTATATTAACAGAAATGGATACCAATGGCTGTCATGTTCTAAGTTTTATGATATTCAAGTTATCATACAAGTTTGAGAAAAGTACAGATCGTATATCATATTTGTCTTGGAAATCAAACAGGATTTGACTAATGTCACATATTTTACATGATCGGTTTGAAATCAAAGAATGAATACAGTAGTGATATTCATAGGTGTCAGATGTTTACATCCTCTATTTCCTCGAATATCTTATATCATGTCGTGATAAAGGTGTTACAAAGAATAAAAGTAATCAATTATTGACTACATTCCAATTTTGCTTGGTCAAATGCTTCTTAAAAATCATATGTATTCATCCAAACATTCGGTCAGTGGTTTCGTCTTTTAAATTTTATTCCATCAGGACTCCACGGTTTGATTTCATTAAGAAACTATCATTTAGGCTACTTCGTTCTTGTAAGTTATGCATTAAACTTACCAAGTTATCTTAATATCTACAAGGAATTGTAAGGTACTGAGAAATACTATTGTAGTGAACAAGAACACCAATGGGGACAATCGAATGTATTTGAGCACATAATTACAGAACGTTCTATTCCCGCCGTTTCCTCATCGACCTTCTACCGAAACACATTCTATACCTGAATACCGTTATATACTACTTGTATGGATATAAGTAACCCACACCACACTATGATTAATATTATTTCAATTGAATTGTATTACAATTTGGTCAACTTACTCCATTAGAATAAGTTGTCACTTTTATATTAGTACCTTTAGTGGTTGGAATTTTTTGACCATTATGAAATTCTTTTGAATACCATCGACCAGGAGAGACCATTGCGCCTACAGCATCGGTATCACTAAAATAATTTCAATATTTAATAATTACATTTAATTGTTAACAAGAGTATAGAAATATATATCAATGAATTCATGACTCTGGCGAGATGATGATGATGATGAGCACTATTGTCTAAGAAATGTAATGACATGTGTGTGTAGAGCATAATTTATTGCTTCAGTATAGGTTGGTTATGATTCCTAAATTAATTTAGATATTGCTTTCTTTCTTCATCCAGCTTATGAAAAGTGTTCACGCGCGAGACCGATAGGTCCTGGGCTCGAATCCCGCGAGGCGGGTTCATGGATGCACACTGCTGAAGAGTCACACAATAGGATGAAACGGCCATCCAGTGTTCCCAGGTTTTTATTGATGGTCTAGTTTCCATAGACTCATGATCTCAACTATTGAAATCACTATAATATCCACTAAACTCCTTCCCGATATTGAATAAAGATATGTTAACAAGGTCGTGAAAGCTAACTGTTTTTATTCAGTAAGTCATTTGGTGGGACTATCATTGTACTGTAGAAATTATGATCGTAAACACTATCACTGATTGAAGAAAGATAAGAATTAAGCATAACAGTAATTTGTCCAGATTTCATTGATATACATAGACTATCGTTGTTATTATGAATTTTTGAGGCAGTGCTTGTCTCATATACCATTCGAAACGATGTATTGTAACCAATACCTAGCCATAAATCCAATTATACATGACTGTTATACTCCCTAATTAGATTTTAACCTTTTTCAACTTAGGTAATTTTATTGGGATTCTCATCTTTCGGTGGTGTTTTCTATAATTCATTTATAAAGTACAGATTCATAGATATAACTCTATGCATTGTTTTAAATATGAGGGTCAGTAATACTGCATAGTTGTACAAATAGAACTCAGTAAAGTAGAGTAAAAACTTGCCAGCAACTGCTTGATGACTGAATACCAAACCCAATAATTCACCATGTCAGCTGAAAAGCTCGAGAACACTAAACAGCTGATTTTTTTCATAGTTTACAAATTATTAGTGATCTAAAAGTACAGTTTACTATTGTGTTGTCAGTGAATATTGTTGAAGTGTCCCAAGCTATGATGCAACAGTTATCTAGAGTTTTCAGCTTTCATTATATTCCCCTTGCCAATATAACACATTAATTTAGAAAATTTAGGTGAGACTATAATTTATGAACGACCTTTGAGAGATACTAAAGTGACTTTGAGAGTGTCCACATAATAACTAGCACCAAATGAAGATTACAAATCAGTGTAAGGGATTAGAATGATGGTCTACTGTTGATGGTCAAGGTTAAGGATATCACTAGTCAATTGAAGCTAGACCATCATGAAAAACCGGGAAACAGTGGACTGCCGCTCCGTTCTATTGTGGGACTCCCCGGTTGTGCGCACCCACGACCCCGCCCCGTGGGATTCGAACCCAGGACTAACCGGCCTCGCGCCGGGCGCTTAACCAACTAGACCACTGGGTCGGCACCCAACGGTGCTAATGTCTAAGGTTTAAGGTTTTCATCACAAACCGATATCAGCTGTAATGTCAAAACGGTATTTTACCAAATGGATGAATGAATTCCACGCCAAAATGCGTGACCTATTACCTTATACACTTGACTGGTTTCGTCCATAAATGATAATCTCGTCAAAATTCACAATACATATACACTTATTTCAATCTTACCTGATATAATCCAATTCTTTCGATGTAATATCATCATCATGTTGTGGTACAAAAACGGTATAAACATTTTTAGTTGAATTGGATGATAAATCTTGTAAATTATTACCATTAGTTAATGTTTGAGCTATTTGTAAACTTTTTTGATCTCTTAATTGATCAATAATAGTTTGCCATGAACGATCAATAAAAGCACATTTATTATCTAATAATTCAGTTTTTTCATAACCTGGACAACAATCATTTTCAAATTTTACACCTGGAACTCTGTCATACACAAAAAAAAAAGAAAAAAAACGAATCAAATGAAATAACTATTACTATCTATTTGTAAGCAATGATGGATGGTGGCTAGCAGTGGTATCCACGACGCGCGTTTCGTCCTATTTGGGACTCGTCAGCCGGATGTACCTGAATTTCATAGTTGGTGTTCTCTCTGGGATTCGAACTTAGTACCATTCGCTGCAAACGCCATTGCGTTATCCACTAAGCTACTGAGTCCTGATAGGACGAAACACGCGTCCTGGCTTCCACTGTTAGCCACTATCCATCATTGCTTATAAAAAGCTTGTGAATTAAGGCAATATCGAGGCATACGCACAGTATGCACATATGCCAATAACAGACTGATCAATTGCAGTCTTAAATCTCAATGGGAAGATACAAGCCAAACAATACCAAGTGAGTACTACTATCTATTTTGAAAGTAGTATATTAATACTTTTGATTTTTCCAAAAAAATAAAGGAGGACAAATTCAGATTAAGATAATGTAATATGACTGTAATTTCTTTATGAAACTTTAAATCAATTTCTGTTGAAGCCCTTAAATCATGTATCTGATCATTTGTGTAGTCATCAATTTTAATCGGTTGATTACTGAATACGCAGCCAATAATCACTGTGATCAGTGACATTGTTTCAGTATGTGAATTAAAATGATGAGGGTTTGAATCCCACTGAAGGCACAGTACTTTAAGGTGTCTTATTGTGGAAGAACATCTAGGGTGAAACCTATGTACAGAGTTTCCTACTGACAATAGGTGGGTTTAAATTTGTTTAAATTGGTTGAGTAATGTAATATAGAAGGTTTACATGAATCTGATTAGCTTCCTGTAATAATACCATAGTCTACAATGAATAAAATAAAAGCAACCTTTAAAATGGTTTAATTTATTCAATCTGGTTGGCGTTTTTTAGCAAGATTTTTTTACTGGATGGGGTTGACAACCCCATACCCAACCCACTTCCTTTATACGGACTTGAAACCGGCAGTAACTCTGGAAGAGGCACATGTATTTATAAACAATTGTCTACACAAGATACTGAATGCCCGTTGGTCGGATATCATTAGGAACAGTCTACTGTGGGAGAGGGCAAACCAGCTTTGAGCCTAGGAGGAAATTACGAAAAGACTTTGGAAGTGGATAGGACATACGTTACAGAAATCACCAAACTGCATCACGAGGCAAGCGCTAACTTGAAATCGGAAAAGAGAAAGGCCAAAGAACACAGTGCGACGGGAATCGGAAGCAGACATGAGAAGGATTGCCTGAGACAGGGTTGGATGGAGAGTGTTGGTGGGCGTCTTATGCTCCTCCACGAGGCTTAACAGACGTAATTAAAGTATGTAAGCCTTCATACTCTGCATTCATCACAGATTAATATAAGTTAGAATACTACTGAAAATCATGTGAACACTATCCAGATATTTCATACCAAGATGGGACTCCTCAGTAGTGTTACCTCAGTGGATCTAATCGTTAAGAGTTTAATTTAAGATCAGAATGTCCTGGACTCGATCTGCGGTGTGGTCATCAATGAACGTAGTTGAGTAGTCTCATAGCAGAAAAAGATAACATTCTAATGGTCCTTGATTTTTGGTAGTATCTTCTAATGAGATCAATCTGTAAGGATTTATCTAATCAACAGAAAATGTTTTAGGCAAACTATCAAAGAATAATCAAAGAATTGGAATCATTAAAATATCAGGATCAAATTCTTTGAATTTAACCATTTTTATTGTCAGTATAGAGACAACCTTTGTTTTATTTACTTTAATGTACAAAGATGAATGGTGGCTAAAAGTGAAACCCTGAACGCGAGTTTCATCCTATTTTGGACTCGTCAGATGGATTTAGCTACATCCTAGAGTTGATATTCACTCTGGAACGCGAACCCAATACCATTCACTTCAAATGCCATCACATTATCTACTTAGCTACTGAGTCCTGTTAGTCACTAGCTTTTACAATGGGGTAAAGTTGTCGCCCTAATCATCAATGGGAAGATTCAAACAAACAAAAGCTATCTATTGAAAGACGTAGAAAAAATCATTTTAATTCCATTCATGAATTTCAATACTTTCTTCATAGTTTAGGAGTAAATGGTTTATTAAAGTTTTAAATTATTTAAACATAAAGTGTAGAAACCACAAACAAATAGTGACTAAAAATTTGCGTATTGGTCTTTTTTTGTGGGGGGGTTAGAAAGTAACCAGGATTTTACGACAAAACTGTCCATAGTTGTCATTTACATTTATTGAATAATGCATGGTAACGATGTTTATATTTTGTTTGTCCTCAGTGTTGATCAAATTTCACCAGTCACGTTACAGTGTTACCCCCCCTTGTAAAAGTGCTTCGAAATCTCAATATAAATAACTCAATTTTGACATATCTGGTTGCACAAAACTGAGTGATAAAGATTTATATCTCACAAGAGGGGGAAGTTGTTTCTTTCTGTTATATCTGAGTCTCTTACTATTCATAATTTATACAAGCAATCACTATAATTCCTACTATTCTAAGGTAAGAACACGAATGACTGGTGAGAGTGAACTCTCAAGATAAAACGACTCTAGTAGAAAATTATTTTATTTTATTTAAACACCTAAACACTGGTACAAGGAGGCACCAAATACATACGCGCCACACAAATTTCATTTGATTTGTATGAGGGCTGGGATACTATCCTGGTGCCCAGATCGAAACAGGTGGTTTACTCAAGAGGCCACATCTGGAGCCCTCGACCTGAAGGTGTGATCCACAAGGCAGTGGGGCAACGTCAGGAAATGCAGTCCGATGGTAGCCGGTGACCAACAATAGATTCATACATAATTTTTTCCCTTAGGATCCTGTAGCCCATGGACACCATTGATTTGGAATCAGTGTTCACCAACTCCCCTAGGTGGATCCTCTATATCAACCAATCGTGTTAAAGCACAGGAAATTCGCTTTTCTTCCTCTCAATTTCGTAAACAACACCCTCGTCGCGAGAGGGCAGTGAGTGGGAGGTCGCTGGCAGTGATTGTATGCACATGGCCATGTGAGAGGACTTCGGGAGAGAGAGAGCGGACTCAGCCCACTCTCGGTATTTGGTACACCTATTTAATTAATAATTATAAATAAGTTACATACATTGAATATCAGGTATCACCTTACCTTGAATGGCCATTATATTGAAATAAATCAATGTCATCACTAGTAACATATCATATTGTAAAGAAAACAAAGATTTCACTGAATCACTGTCATATGTTGAATAAGAATCACAATAAGTTAAGGATGTGATTTTATCTTTTCATCCGATTTTATCACTCCTAATATTGAAGATAAGCACTAATGATTGTTAGTAACTAACTCAAAACTTTAGTTCAATGTTTGCTGATTATCATCTTTAATCATTTAACATTAACTGACATTCAAAATATAGAATTTTATTCTTTTTAACCATTTATTTCTAAAACATTCTATCAATTTATGATCTTATCATTAACTATTAATTGATGAATATCAACTCTATGATCATTTATTAGAGGATGTAAGTTCGTCAAGCTTTAGTTTTTCAAACTTCAACAGCATATAGAAGAATTACAAGAGTTTCTTGTTATCATGAATTCTAATTCTATGTATTTACCAGTTGGTTGAGTGAATAATTCTTGATACACATTGATATTGACTGAAAAACTTTCGAATATCAAGTAGGATCATATAGTTGTTTCTATCTAGTTCGAAATTTCCTATTAATTACACATTTATAACTTCCCACATATTGATTAAACAAAAGAATTTCAAGTTATGTGTATAGATCATTTTATCGAATGTTAGTAAGTCAAGGGGCACAAATCCATGAAGTCACTGACAAGTGGACAAAAGCCATGTTGGTAAGTGTAGACTACCTGGTTCCGGGGATCTGCGAGATGATAGCAACCGATGATTAGAGACCTTAAATGATATGGCTCGAAATCATTTGCAATGGCGCAGGTACATCCATTCTTTGTGTTCTCTCAGATTCTAATCTTCTGAATTCTCCTTGTCTCTTTTTTTTCTCTTTCCAAATTTATTTCACTACATTATACTCATTGAATAACATCTTCGAACCCTAATCTTCCTGATTACTGCTTATACTTTTACTACCTCTACCACTATGGGATTTGAATCGACAATTGTATCTCTGTGGTAATGTGATATGACAACTCGAACTGATGTACGTACGTACGATGTACCACATTGTTACTGACTAATTGAAGTCATGTTACAGACTACAATATTGGTAGCTACTTTAATTCAAATGTAATTGATCTTTACCAATAAATTCACACACAAAAATTCAGATAATCATCAAAAAGGAAATACCCATTGAAATCTATTAAAACTTACTTTGTTTGTAAATATGGTACTGAACCGCATATCCAACCAAATGTACGCCTTTGTTTCCAATGCATCCATAAATATGGACAAGTATATGCATCTTTATTAATAGATTGAGTAGAGATTTCATTGAATAATTGTAATGAATAAAATAATACTAATAATATAATCCATTGGAATAAATTATGATTTAATTTAGCCATGATTATCCCTTTAATCAATATGATTACACTGATGAATTCAATAAAATTCATTATAATAGATCGGTTTTTATATTAACTTTATAGTCTATAAATTGGACAGTGCAGAGAGAGAGAGAGAGAGTGAATATTATAACATTTTAAGTAATTACATATCTTAGTAACAAATAGTAACTATGGGAATTGATTTATTTTGTTTAATAGTTACTATGATTGAATAAATCAGTATAATTAAACATATATATATACTTATACATATCTACATATTGAACAAGTAAATTGTCATTTGTGTAAGGTATCATGGATACTGTGTAATGATCTTTAGGTAGAGTACTAATATAAAAACCAGGAAGTACTTGACAACTGTTACGTATTAGTATGGGGCTCCTCAATAGTATACGTTCATAAAGTGTCTGTCCATTGCTTTCTTATTTTTAATGGTGGTTTTTCATTATTATTATTATTATTATTATTATTATTATTATTATTACTATTATAAAGTTTTAACACAATCACGTATATATGTAAACTAACTAATGAATACGTAGAGGTTCATACTATTTAATTCAATCAGTGGTAGACTAATCATTAAAGTCACACCATACCCACTAAAATTTTCAATGTATTACCGTACAATGAAGATCCTGAATGATAAGAAACAATTTGGTCTAATCAATAAAAAAAACAGGTCTAACAACCAGGTATTTTTATAAAATTATTATTTCCAGTGCTTTAACTCAACAGTTCTTATCAATGTAATATAATAATTGAATTCATGAGTCAATTGAAGCTAGACCACAATGAAAAGCCTGGAAGTACTGGACAGCCATTTCACTCTAGTATGAGACTCTTCAGCTGTGTGCATTCACGCCCTTGCCTCGTGTGATTCAAACGCAGGGCCTATCAGTTTCGCGAGCGAACGCTTAACCTTTAGACCACTGAGCCGGTGTTAATGTCCAACTTCAACCAGTCCACGAAATTGTGCTACCGTCCATTATTGTCTTAAGTGAGTTACTATCTCACAGCAAACTTGGTTGAACTCCGTTGGTCACGGCTTCTCACTGGAACTCCAGGAAATAACTCTTGGATGTATCATGTGTATCAGAAAATCATTGAATTGGTTATTTCATTTAGCAATTACTGTGGTTGGTTTGGCGGCCTGCTTGAATGTCTGGGCTAACTGTTTCTGCCATTTGGGTATTTTAGCAAGTTACCTGTTTTGTTGTTTGTTTTAACACATCACTATGCCTATTAGTCTCATAGCTTAATCAGGTGCGTTTATGAAAAGTTTGCAACCTTTCTCTGTACATCTTACAAAAGAGTGCATCCAGCGACATCGTGGATGATGATAATATACATAGAAAAGAATGTACATTTTCAATAAATTTTGCTCGCTGAGCTCGATGGTTTGGTTGTGGAGATTTCGTCGTTCTTCTGAACAACATCATCAGCAAAACGTTCGGGTAGAAGTGAATTGTTCCAATTTCTCAACATATGGTTCACAGCTTGTCCTATAGACCTCCATGTTGATTGGTTGTTGTTGACCTTAAACAACCCAAGAGCTCACAAAATCAGCTGCGTACAAACTTTGTTCAAGAGGGTAACAACACGCTGTGTAACGGAAAGAGAACAATGAAAATCCCTCCGCAGCTCTTTTGTTGGACAGTACTTTTTTTTATTTGTTTCTTCTCCCTGTCGTGTATTTTAACCTTTGTTTAGATCTCGTTTAAACACACCTTTTGTCCTTTAGTCTTCCACGTCTGAACGTTTATTATGCGATTTTGATTAAAGGCTGTTCTTTTGTTACCTAATTTTCTATTGCATGTTGCTGGACTATTGACAGTAAGGTCGTGTTTGACTAACGCTCAAGGTCACGGCGTGGTTCAGTGTGTGGCTGCTAACCTTTTGACTGTCTGCTTGGGAAGATTGCTGGAATCCATGCAGATACAAATTTGATTCCATCTTGTCGGGAATATTTTTAATGCTTCTCAAGTATCGAACCCTTTGGTATTAAATGTTTCTTTTATTGTTTAGCGTGCTACTTTGTGTTAGAGAAACCTTTCACTACATAGCACAGGCTGTACCGTTTGAAGTACTTTGTATTTTTTATATAATTTGTTCTATTTCCTAAATTAAAACCGTTTAAATTGAGCAAAGAGTTTGTATTTTGATATAATTTAATACGAGTATCTCAAAAACGCTTGGTACGCTATACAGAAGAACGTAGTCTGGCCTATTCGAATAAATTTTGGTTCGTCAGTTCTGCGTTCAAACCGAATACTGGCAGTTCGGTCGTCACACACTGAAATACACTTGAAGTACGAAAAAATAAAGAACAATACTTAAAGACCATCTTTCACAAGAACAGCTACTCAATCAACTTCATCAAGAAATACCTTCCGCGCGCATCATTAGAAACAAAGCCACGTGCAGAAATCAACAAAAGGATCACCCTGCCATACATAAAAGGCATATCAGAGACTACAGCGAGACTGCTGAAACCCTTCGAAATAGGTGTAGCACATAAACCAACACAATCACTACATTCAATTCTATCCAAACCAAACGATGAAGTGGCAAAAAAAGAAAAGTCAAACATCATCTACAAAATGAATTGTGCCAGTTGCGAAAAACACTACATCGGACAGAGCAGACGCCCTCTTCATCTTTGCTTGTATGAACACCAATTAACAGTCAAACGCCTTGACATGTCTTCACTTATATCAATGCACGTGGACAACTGTGCACACACAATCGACTGGAAAAATGTGAAACTTTCCGATAGAGGCAATTCGAAAAACACCAGAGAACTTTTAGAAGCTTGCCACTCAGGTCAGTCAGCAGCCGACAAGTATATTGAAATCAATCTAATTTATCAACCAATCAGGAAGATTATGGACAAACATAGCAACAAAAATCAAACCAATGGAAGATACAACCAAAACAAGGAAGTTAACAATGACAGTTTCAATGTCAATAAGAACCAATCAACATGGAGGTCTACACGACAAACTGTGAACCATATGTCGATAAATTCGAACACTTCCGATTTCGACCTGAAGTTTGTGCTGATGATGTTGTTCAGAAATCGCCGCGACCAAACCATCGAGCTCAGAGGACAAGACTACATCGAAATTATCCACCTGAGCTACAAATTTTCTCCACTATCTCAGAATGTACATTATTAATACGTCGATTCCTGAAGTGTTAACATATAACTGACGATCACTCAATGTTTATCGTATGGATCGATCAAGAAATATGAAGAGGAAATTCGTTGAAATACTTAGTGCTAAGAATTCTATATTGTATCAGAAATTTAATATTGAATAAAGTCGCTACATTGGTTCACATTATCATACGCCATTGGCATAGAGAGAAAAGAAACTATTAGGGCAAATCGCAGATTAGTTGGAGATAATAACATTATTAGTGGTAATAGAAAAGATAAAACATCGAGGATAAGATTCAAAAAGAAATAAATTGGTAAAATTGAAGAGAGCATGACGAAGTTAGAAGCTTAGGATCAAAGGGATGACAAAACGTGGATGCACCTGGGTCACTATAAACAATTTGGAGCCATGTTATTTGGAGTTCCCGACCACTGAATACGGCAATAGCATGGAGCCCAACCAATCGGTCTACACCTATTAACATGCTTCAGTCAGATTGTTTGTAATTCCATGAACGGGCGTCATGTTTCTGTTTGGCCGCCCTTAGCTTTCTTCCAGTCTAATCTTGCGCCAGGAAACATTCCTCGTCCAAGTAGGTGGCGATTGGGCTTAGGTGATACATGTCACAATATTTAAGTTGATAAGGATTTATTACCTCATCATTCGATTTACCATATTTATTTAGTGCCATATTACCAACCTAGGCATTACTTACTCCATGGTCCCAAAATAAACGAACGATGATTCGGAGACACCTATGTTACTCACTTACTTACTTACGCCTGTTTCTCCTCGTGAAGGAGCATAGGCCGTTCACCAGCATTCTCCATCCAACCCTGTCCTGGGCAATCCTTTCCAGCTCCTTCCAGTTCTTATTCAGCCTTGTCATATCTGCTGTTTCCCGACGTAATGTGTTCTTTGGCCTTCCTCTTTTCTGCTTCCCTTCAGGATTCCAAGTTAGGGCTTGTCTCATGATGCAGTTTGCTGATTTGCGTAATGTATGTCCTATCCATTTCCATCGTCTTTTCCTAATTTCTTCTTCAGTTGGAAGCTGATTTGTTCTCTCCCACAAAACGCTGTTGCTGATGGTATCCGGCTAATGGATGTTGAGTATCTTGCGAAAACAGCTATTTATAAATACTTGTACCTTCTTGACGGTGGTTGATGTAGTTCTCCAAGTTTCAGCTCCATACAGTAGAACTGCCTTGACGTTGGTATTGAAGATTCTCACTTTGATATTGGTTGAAAGTTGTATTGAGTTCCATATGTTCTTCAACTGTAGGAATGCGACCCATGCTTTGCCAATCCTTGCCTTTACGTCTGCATCTGAACCTCCTTGTTCATCGATGATGCTTCCTAGATATGTGAAGGACTCTACATCTTCCAGAAATTCGCCATCAAGAGTGATTGGATTGCTGTTCTCTGCCTTGAATTTGAGGACCTTGGTTTTCCCTTTGTGCATGTTGAGGCCTACTGATGCAGAGACTGCTGTCACACTGGCTGTCTTTGTCTGCATCTGTTCGTGTGTATGCGATAGGAGGGCTAGGTCACCTGCGAAGTCCAAATCGTCTAATTGATTTTGAGCTGTCGACTGTATTTCGTCTTTTCCTTCAGATGTCGAGGTCCTCATAATCCAGTGGACCACCAGAAGAAAGAGGAAGGGAGAGAGTAAACAGCCTTGTCTTACTCCGGTCCTTACTTCGAATGCATCTGTCAGCTGTCCTCCATGCACGACTTTGTATTGTAGTCCGTCGTATGAGTTCCGGATAATATTGACAATCTTCTCAAGAACTTTGTAGTTTCGAAGATGTTTCCATAACGTCGTCCTATTCACACTGTCAAATGCCTTCTTTGTCTTTGACCGGTCTCTCTGGTTTACTA